GAGGTCAAATTTACTCATGAACAGAATTCTGGATGCATAGAGATTGGAAAACAATGTTTGGTGGCTCCAGGAAGGACTGGTGCAATTCACACAATAAATGGCATTATGGGAAAATATCCTGCTGAATTATGGAAGCAAGCAAAGTTCAATTCAGAATTCAATTTAAAATCCTTCTCTATACTTTCAAAGCCATACATAACCTTGCTCCTCCATATCTGTCAGACCTCCTTCACATTGCCACCTCCTCCCGCTCCCTTAGATCCTCCTTTAACATCCACCTCACTGTACTCCCAGCTCGACTTGTCACCATGGGGAGCAGAGCCTTCAGCCCCTCTGCTCCCCAGCTCTGAAACTCACTTCCTCCCGACCTCCGCAGTATTGACTCTCTCCCCTTATTCAAAGCCAGACTCAAAAACCATCTGTTCCAGCTCGCTTATCTGTGAATATACTGCTCTTTTCCCTATCCATAATTGTTTTTATGTTCCTGTATTTAAATTTTTGTGTTTTCATCTTTCTTTTTATTTATTTTTTGTATTTTCTGCAAAGTGACCTTGAGTGTCCAGAAAGGCGATGTTAAATAAAATGTATTATTAATATTATTATTATTATTATTATTATTATTATTATTATTATTATTATTATTAAACTTTTAAGAACATCAGCCAGAAAATGGTGAGTGGCGACCAAGTGGTTAGGGCATAGAGGTTGGAATCCTGAGGTTCTGAAATCGAGCCCCATTCCCACAGACTGCCTCTCTGGCTCTCTGAGCAAGACCCTTGACCCCTGATTCCTCCCCGGGCGCTCCACAATGGCAGCCCACTGCTCCCCAAGGGGATGGGTTGAATGCAGAGTTAAATTTCTACAATATGAGAGCAATAAAAGTTCAGTTAAATGAAATCTTGGGTCTTCCAAAAAGAAATGACCCTAAGCTTATTGCTAAATTAATGCCCGAGTGGTTTGAGGGGAAAACAAGTCAATGGCTTGGGTCATCCCAAAGGGGGCACAGATTTTTGGGCACAGATGAAAAGGTTAATGGGACCAATGAGAGCTAAATACCAGACCACATACTTCTTTTTGAAAGAATGGGTCCAAAATTCCTGCTGTCTGTTGCTTAACGTTTGTGTGGAGAAATCCAGAAAACTGAGTTTAAGCATTTCTACCCCATTCTTTATGTAGACTTCAGAATTAGAAGTTTTTCAAAATAATATAATATGGGATAATAATCTAATCTAATCTAATATTTCTACCCCATTCTTTATGTAGACTTCAGAATTAGAAGTTTTTCAAAATAATATAATATGGGATAATAATCTAATCTAATCTAATCTAATATGGCATAAAAAGGATAATCAGTCCATAAATCTGACCGAAAACCATTTTTTATGTGGTGCTTGTAAACATTTAGTTTCAATTGTTTAATGCTATTTATTCTTTTTCTGACTGATGCCTTCAAACACTGACACCCTTTTTAATCTTGGTGACCTCTATGAAATGAGGCTTTAAATAAATGACCCAATTGAGAAAATAACAGTAAAATACTGAAACAGGGGTTTATTTCAGGTTCATTTAGATTTACTACTATAGATTTATGCATTTACTTAGAAGACCAAGAGCTAAATCTGAAAAAGGAAAAGATGTCAAAACAAACTACTTGTGAGTTTGCCCTTTTATGTATCCAAGTTAATCCATTCTATTGTTTTTCGTTTTCATATTAATCTTAACAAATGTTCCCTTTTTTTATGCCAGACTGTGCAGAATATTTTATTTGTTTAAAGATAAAAAAAAAAAAAACACTTTAGTTTATTGACCTTTTTAATAGAGTTTTTGGAGGTTTAATATATAATGCAACAAAATTAAATGTCTTTTTAAATGTGAATATTTGTTTTTATTGGTTCATCTTTGCTTTAACATGGAATCTTTTTATTATTGCAGACTTTTCCATGTTGATGAAGATTTTTTTTTCTTCCTATATTTATTGTATTGGCACAGATACAAATTCTGTTTCCATAATAAACTAACCTTCAACAAGATCAAAACAAACTGCTTAAAAACATGGGAATATAGTATGGAGCCTAAGACGAGATAATTCTACAAACACGTGTCTTCACTGTCACTGCTCATAATGCCAAATCTATCAATATGTCCCGCCTAAAATCACTAAGAACAAGACATCCAAACTCTTCATGTCTCAGACTATTTGTTTTTTGTGAATTTTCCTGTTCTCCTAACAAAAAGAGAGCGGCAGATGAAGCAATAAAGAAAGCAGACAGGCATCACATTGACTATCAGCTTATTTCTTGTCATCACCAAAGACTGAACAATCACACCTCAAGGATTCCAGACAGCGAGCCTTTTTCACGTGAGTCTTGCATTTCATGTGGTGCAGAAAATAATTGCCCTCCTTGCCAGGCAGTGTCATTAAGTCAGAGGCAAAGTGAGACATGCCATCCGGTTAAAATGATAGGACACACAGGAAGGAAATGGCAGATTGTTCAGTCGGCAAAGACCTGCGCTGAATGCCAAACATTTCAGCTATTTACAAAGAGGAGAGATGCTTGAGAGAGGCTGCATGGCAGGAGCTGTGGGCTGACCAGGTCACAGTGATTGTATAGAGATGCTGTCCACATGATGAAAAACCGCTGCATTAAAAGGCTGTTTTTCTAAGTAGCATTTTTTCATTATAGGACTGGAATTAGTCCTTAGAACAAAGACTCATTCACACGTATTTAGACCAATTTCTAAGAAAATTGAGGGAAGGACCACATAAATATTGCAGAACAGCTATTTTGAGAAAAAAATGGCACAACACATAATATATTGTAGATATAGAAAACTGCTTGTAAATGTAGTAAAGCATTTAGGAGCTAGACGCAGGCGCTTAGAAGCTGCTAAATCTCCAGACAGAGCTCCAAGAGTGATAACTGCATCCTAATGAGAGCTAAAAATGTATCCCCAGTAAAACATAAAGTAAATTACTCCAAGAATAGCTACTGAAAAATACCTATTGTTTAAAGGAACCACTGAGCTCTGTTTTACAGATCTTACTAGAAATAAGGATTTTAAAGTTAACACCAATTGTGAAATACCCAGACAAGTTCTAAAAACAAAAACTCAGTTTATTCATTAATTTGTTAAAACTCCACTTTCCTGGCATACCATTTACTTTACATAGTTTACGGATGAAAAGTATTTATACGGTAGTCAGGTTTTCCATATAGAAAGCCTTTTTTCTAGGAATAAAGCTTTTATGCCTGGGTGAATGGAAACTTCAATTAAACTTCATAAGAGGCGAGTTTTCTATTTTACATGTTCTGAAATAGTTCATGTCCTTTTATGGTTTTTATGTTTGAAACAAAATACTACATTTATGCCAGACTGGATCAGAAGGTTCTGAATAATAAGTATACACATATTTTAGTGAAGATACAATATTATCAATCATTAATGAATCATTGTTCTAGAAGAAAAAGGAATTAAACCACAAGAAACTCCAAGTGATAAATGGATTTCAGTGCTTTTGAAGATGTGCCCCTGGTGACTCGTATATTCAAATGGGAAGTTTAAGTAATTTCCACACGTTCTTCAGATGGCTGAAATTTAAACTGCTCAACATTCTGAATTTTTTGCCTTTTAAACAAAATCATCTCAGATCTCAGATGCCCAATAAGTCTCGTTTCACCGGTTTATAACAGGTTGTAAAGGGACCGACAGTCAGAGTTCAGCGATACATATCTGGCACCAAGAGTCAACAAAATATCCCCATAATAATACACCACAAACCTAATTGTTGGTGAAACCCTGTGGAGCCATACGGTCAGTTTTTTTCTATAGCAAATGTTGATTCTACAGTCTAGCAAAGATGGAGTCAGCATTTTGTTCAATCTGTTATATTCCTTATGTTTGGTGTGGTGGGGAAAAAAAAATCTTTTATAATATATTTATGTAGGTATATATATAAATATAGATTTATGAGTACTGAGTATTATTCATTCAGGCCTCAGATCTGCATGGCCATAACGTGTCTAAGAAAGAGAGGGTTGTTTATTCTATTAGGGAGTGTTTGGGATAAAACCAGGTAGTTCTCATAATATTCAGACTCTCTCTCCACACTGTTTTTTTTATTTTGAGTAGAGATGTGTGGAGACCTTCACAGCTTTTCTGCAGGCTTAATTACAAAGAGACACTCTTGTCTAGTCAGGGCTGAATGCCATGCAATAGAGGCTGTATGTCTTGTTTTCTCTTTGCAAAGATTAAATAAAATGCCTACTGAATGAAATCCATCTATCTCAATGTATTTAACTGGAGTGAATAGTTACATACCTTTTTCCCAGATGATATTGGGCAGCGATAACTGTAGCTTTAGTTGGATTTTCTTAGCCAATACTTGGAGGGGTCTGCTGCTACTGTGGCCTGTTTCCTTATAGAAACATTTAAGAATGTAAACATGTTTTCCACAAAATTAAGAGTAGCAGAAGAATGGATGAGATCTGCATTTTGAGGTGGAATCCCAACACCAACTAGGGAGGAAGGGGTGACATTTAGGCCTTTATACTTTCAACCTAATCTTCCCATTCTGTTCCGAACAAATGTCACTTGCCAGATAGTTTTTGTTTTTTCCGACCATTTTGAGATTTTGATGAAATTTCTAGTAAACCATCAGTTCCTCAAATACTAAAAAAACCCTATTGTCTGACACGAAGTACAAATACACTTAAAATCCTCTTTTTTTCTTTCCCCCCCTTCTATTATCAGGTAATGTCATATCTAGACCCATAAATGGTCAAATCTGATGCAAATTTAATGTCTAATATTGCTGAGGATACATAATAAAGAGGCCAGTCAGTGTTAACATCTCCAACTGAAGTAGTAGAATGTTCTTGGCATGACATACATAAAACTGTGACAGATTTGTCTGTTTACAGAAAAACCCTGAAGGATTACTGCAAAGTTAACAAATAAGAGACCCTTTTTAAAATGAATACAAAGCCAAAACATTTTAATAAAATGAAAAAGTTAAACAAACAAAACGCATGCCAACAGAGCGGAGCCATTCCACTGGTACATACAGAAAAGGTGGCATCAAATGACAAACTAAAACAAACAAAATGTACAACAACAAAAAAAAGATGATAGTTCTAATATACATGATGATGTAACATGTCATTTATACTGAAGTTATCTGTACAGAAGAGTTTTCTCTCCATAAGTTCCAATTACTGAAAAAGCTGAATTTAGAGGTTCAGTCATTCCAAACAAGTAGTTCTTTACGTTTTTAACAACTTATATTTTTAAACTAAATCCAACAGATTCAGTTTGCAAACAAGATCCGATTTCAGACAATGCATTTCAACTGTAAAGAAGTCATATTTGCATGCAGAGCAGCAACAATCCCAGACTTGTGGCAAAAACATACAGGAGAACAGGAAGTCCACTTGCATACGAATGATGCTGGCAAATAAATAGAGCTGAAACCCTGCCTTCATCTTTTATTAAGAACCAAGGGGTAGTGTAAATGAAAACATTAGAGAACAAAAGGCCACATGGTAAAACTGAACGTGAAGAACTGAGGGAGACGATGGATGAGTGAGTGAGTTGTTGGTTAAACGGCTGGACAGATAAATGAACAGATGGGGTTGGGTTGGGCGCAGAGGAACGCTTCACGCAGCAGATCGTCGGCGGATGACAAATGTTCCTCTCTGCAGCTGTCCTAGGTAGATCCTCATCTTTGTACTGTCGCTCGTCTTCCTCACCCAAATCTGGGCAAACAAACATTAGACGACAATCTGTTATTTAAAGATATCATGACTAAAGATTCAGACGACCAGAAATTGTGGACTTTGCACTGATGTGTTCTTATTCGTACATGTGAAATATGTTTTGTTTAGCTGTTATGCAACTCCAAGTGAATTAAGTTATACAAGCAATAAGGATAAAACAGGTCTAGGTTTAATGATGCTGAATTTTACCTTGAAAGCATAAAGACAACAAATTCCACAACTGCAGAGGTTACTGAAACAACGCTAAAATACCCTTTACAGTTATGGGAATAACTACGTCCATTTTAACCACTTTCTTAGACTTTTAGACGGAAAATATAAGCCAGATGCTATTTATCAAATGCAGTACTTTAAGGTTTTAGCAAAACCATTGTGTCTAAAAGCAGGTGTTTTGGTTAAGAGCTTGTATGTGGATGTGGGTTAATAAAATATTAAAGCAGAAAGAAAAGAGTAATGTCATTAATCAAACAGTTATTGCTGCTCATGCATTTGAAACATAAAGTTCTTTATTTCCTAGACAGGGAGATCAACCTCAAACAAACCTTTACAGAAGAAACAGGAAATTCTTCTTATGGTTAGAGGATGCAACTACGATAATATGGCACAAAATAGTGAAGAAAAAAAGGCTGTTGACCTGTTCAGTGTCAAAACTATATTTTGGTGAAGTAGTTTGTGTGCATATGAGATTAGACTACTTAAAAATCTGATTCCAGTAAAAATCAAATCTACTGTTTTATGTTACGTTGCAAAATCTTTGACATATATGGATGTACTTTATTTTTCAATTCTGACTATAGATAATATTTTTTTAACGAAGAAAACAGGATTCTTCTGATATTAGGAAAGAGCTAAAAAGTAAGTTATTGATTAAAAAAAAAAGCTAGAGACGTACAAATATTTGGTTTCTGATACCAATACTGCACCTGTGAGAAATTAATACCAATATTAACCCCATGAATATCAGGTACAATTCATACATCCTTTTATTACCTATTCTGTTAAGCGGAATAAAAAAATGATATTAGTGAAACGTAAAAATAGTCAATAACATTAGATATGAGAACAGCTGACCCATTGATTATTAAACTACAGTAACTTTAGACAGAAGAAGTTTTTTTTTATCATTATGCTAATAGAAAATTTAGGTGCAGGCTGATATAATCTGATCTTTTTTTTTTTATCTATATTGGGCTGATTTCAATATCACATTGGGACACCCCAAAAAACAACAATGTGTCTAAATTTGCTTTGTGAAATGGAGAAATGGTCAATAAACAACCTTAGAACAAAGTTGCTGTTTCTAACCAACATATGTAAGTTTAAGCAAAGCAAATATTTTAACTTATCAGCTGATAATGATGATAATGCTTTTCTCCCCAGTTTAATAAGTTTATTTCAAATGTTTCCCCTTCATTTATGGTCTATAGCTCTAATCAGTCCTAAAGAACAGCATAGAAGCATTTCATCAGCTGCTAACGTTCAATAAACTCCAACTTTACAAGATTACCAACTTTCTCTATATGCATTTGAACTTAATTACAAAAGCCTGCCGATAAGTACATTTCATTGATAACACTGACTTTTTTTGTAAAACACTGAGGAGGTTAAGTCATTCTGGTAATAAACAGGTTTCAGAGACCAAAAGATAAACTGTGGGGTCAGCAAAGAGTTAATAATCACCTCGTTGGTCCCGACTGAGCTGATGACACAGCTAATCTTTGTGTTATCCTTTGATTCCAGGTAAATGGCTTGACTCTTATGGTACCTGCAGTCAAGAGGAAAACAAAAGTAAATGCATCTTATTCATAGAGCATAAAGGAGACAGCAAAAAGCTAGCTTCCCCAAGCTGAATAAACCCCATTTCACCTAAGATGGAACTGAGCATATAATTGGATTGAAACATCCAAACAAAGTCTTGGTATTTCTTCTAAAGACTCCAATAAGTCAAAGGACAAACCAAAGCAAAAAGAATGGATTGGCACTAATATTTGATCATTAAGCCTCCACTGAGGAATAATGATGCATGCGTCTCCCCTGTGGCACTTTGAGACGGCTCTCTGGCGACAGCGTCTTCTTTTAGCCGGGGAATAAATGAGACTTTGCCTTCAAAAGAACACAGCACGCACCTCGCAACTTGCTCCTCTCAACTTTCTGCGTCTAGGCCAGCAGCTAATAGGACAGAATTCTATTATTTTCTCCCCCTTTGAAACCAATAGATGTCCTGACATTTCTGATTCAGACCTACGCTTTCAAACAGAAGGGTGTCAAGGCTGCATCTGGTGAAGGATTCTTCTTATCTTTACATATGAGTCAAAGGAGATGCAGTTCTGGTTCCTATGCAGCCACACAGCCCAAGAGGACGGTTTAATGTTTGATTCAAGTGTTGATATACATTCAGTGAAAAACTGATGATGTTTTTCAGCAGCTCAAAAAATGTACTACTGACTAAAGACATTAAACACGTGACAATGGGGCCACCTAGTGGTGGCAGATATAACTGCCACAGTATTACTTAAAAAAAAAAAAAAAAGCAAACTAATAAAATCTTACCATCTTTTATCGTAGTAAAGTTTCCCCTCTTCAATGCGGGCCTCGTACCTCTGCGAGGAGTTCTCCATGGGAGCAGAGGGGACGTGCTCAGGAGATGAAGGAGACACTGAACACAGAGACAAACTCATGTCATTAACATTACGCATAAACCTTTTATATGAACAGTTAATTTGTACATCTGGTTGTTCTAGAGCTATATAGATTTCATATGATGCCACTTCAATAATAACTCTTCAATTATTCACAGGTCAAATCTCTAAATTAGGTCTTGGTTTTGCCATTTAATCCCCTTACATCAACCAACTGACAGCGCTGTACCCGACCATAGCTTTTACTTTTCTTCATAGCAAAGTCTTTTTTATGATGATCTACGGCGAGTCATAATGTTCCTAAAATATTGTGCTTATTTCAGAAGAATTGAATGAAAGTTTCCATGCACTTCATACTACTCCACAGTTTTACTTTGTTTTTACAATTCCCCGTTTGAGCTAGTTAATGCTTCTGAATTATGACAAATAATCCCCTCTGAACAAAACAAATAACTCCTTTTAAGGGACATGGAGGGTTTAAAAGCTATATTTCAGTACAGTAAGTAGACTATGAGGGGATCAGAGAAAGTTCATGCAGATCATCTGTTATCAAAGTCAGTATTAAGGGCAGATTATACTTCTGCAACCGCAAACATCAAATGTCGCTGCGCTTGGTCGCGTAGCAGTTTTGCTGGTATGCTTCTGCAACGTCGGTCTGGAATTTCTAGGGGCGCACAGCAGTTTCCCGCCAAAGCGCTAGGGGGAGCCTATTCGAGAACTCATGAGAACTTCAGCGGATGGTCACAAGAACTTCTTACTCCGCGTTTTTTAAAAATGGCACGCCCTGACACCAAATCAAGAAGGAATACAGAGATAAAGGCATACCAAGGACCAATCACAGCTGCTTTTTTGTCTGCGCGGGTTTGCGACTGTCTGACGTGTTGCAGAGACTCTGCGCAGGAGGCGTGCACAGAGACAGATTTGCCTCTGTGCATGTTCCCAAGGCAGGTATGATTAGATGAGTCCAGTGGAACATGTATAAACAATAGCAACAACTTAAAAACATCCAAAATGGATTCTGCACTCTACCAGGAAATCCTTGAGAACAACATCCTATGTCTTGAAGCTCAGAATCACTCTGGGCTATGCAGCAGGATAAAACAAAATAAAAATATGCAACCGACTCTTCACCCGAATGGCTACTTTCCTCTAGAGTCAGTCCAGACAAATGCAAGACTGCGATGGTTAATTATGACTTTAAATATGCCCATCATTAAAAAAAGACAAGAAAAACTCTATGTGGCTGAATTAAAACAATTCTTCAAATGATTTTAAAATCTCATTGGAAATTCTGTTTTGTCTTAATTGAATTTTTCTTCTTTTTTATGTGTTTAAACTTAAAGATGCAACTGTGACTAGAAAGGAACAACAGAAAAAATCTTTGAGGTGGGCTCATGTCTTTTATTAAGCCTGTATGTCCCAGAGTTAAACGCAGATCCTAAAATTAAATCTTTTTTAATCAATAGTAGATTCTTAGGGCGAGCTCAGACATACCTGGTCGTTTTGGCGACTTTAGCTGTGAAAACAAGAATAGTAATAATCAATATCTTTAAAAAGCAGCTTTACAAAGAAGTAACATTAGTTAAGAGGTTTAGATAACTGTGTAAAAACAGACACACACCTTATTTAGTGTTCTTAGGTCTTCCATTATCTGCTCGTCTGTTAATAAATAATTAAGCTGCGGTTTGAAGAGTCAAGGTAGACACTTTATGCATTTTAAAGACAAAGCTACACAGTGACTTTTCATACATCAACTGCTATTCAGGAGTAGCTGAATACATAAAGTGCATGTGAAGGATATCTGGTGCTGGTTTTCTTCGCTTGTCTGGTATTGGGACTGGGTCATTGGGCCGTCTCCTCAGTTTCCTGGTCATGATGGGCTTTACCTCCATGGAGTCTGTCGATGACAGCAAAAACAGGATGCTATAAAATGGGTATAAATCTTAAAAGTCTTTATTTGTTTTCAATGCAGAGAAGTAGAAACATCAGACATTTGAGCTTCTATCGGATTAATCTATTTTCGATAACGTGAAACCATGCTGTAAGGAAGAGTCTGACCTACTTTCCGTATTACTGATCTAAAATAACCTAAAGGAATAGGACATTTGCTGAAACCTCCTTTCTACAAGCAGCTACTGTATTGGAATGAAATGCAATGTGTCTTGAAAGTGGATAAAAAGGTAATTATTTAATCCTTCAACCCATCTACTTATAGGCCTACAAATCTATGGTAATACGTTTTTCAAGTTCAAATTAAATACTTCGTCTTTTTACATTTATTTTGAGAAATACAATTAATTCCCACTGTTATAGCTGACAAATTCTGACAAATAAATTCAACAAGAATTGTTGAAAAACAGATTTTAGAACTTGGATGACGCCTATATTATAAGAAAATAAATAGATTTAAACTGTAGTATTAAAGGAGCGAGATATAGGAGTGGTTTTAAAAAGCTTTCAGTTTGAAACCTTCTGTTCTACTTTCTTATGGTTTCATTTTTCAGACTTTGGTGAGTCTTCAGAAAGCAACACAGTGCGGCCCCTCCCCCGCTGGTTGCTAATTTTATGCTCATCAGCTAATTGAAGGATATACCATTCACTTAATAACAAGAAAGACTAATTAGACTAAAATTATTTTAGTCCTAAAAAACACACAAATACAACATGGAAAATTAGGAAGCTACCAGGTTCCACTGGAGTAAAACCTTAGTATTTCAATATGAAGTCTTATACAGTAAGAATCTCATCCTAGTTCCTCCCTTTCTTGCATCAAAGAGCAGTTTTGCCTTAAAAAAACAGGTGTTTAAATGAAGTAACCTTGGTGTTAAACACTGTAGTTAGATAGAAGGGCCTAAAAAACAAATGTTAGTGATCACAACTAGAAATTATTTACAACAGGTATCAGGGAAAGAATTGTTCTTCATTCATACTGGTCCTAAATCTATATAATGTTTTCAACGCATCTTTAAAACGCATCCCCCGGTAAATCAGTGTTTTCACTCTCAAGTCAAGATGTCTGCCATGAAATAGACTGATAGTTGCAAAATAAAATACAACAGGAGAGATTTTAGGGATGACATCCAAAATACATGTTTTGTCAAGTTTTTCCAAATACTTAAAATGAAGAAAACTGAAGATCTCAATCCGAAAAGCCAAGACCAGGAAAAATAACCCCAAAAGTAAGTCTTCACAGGGTTAAAAGTTTTACCGGGGGGGAGGGGGGAATTTGTTTAACTTAAATGATTTGCACTATAAAATAAAACAGTCAAGCAGTGCATCAATTCTCCAACAACTTCAGTTTTTACATTTATAAAAGATTAAAATAATTAGGCAGACCACAATTGTTTTTGATGATTTTAAAATTATAAATTAACAGAAAATTAATGTCAGTTCTTCTGTTCTCCATTTAGCACAACAGATGGTTGTTTTACTGGGAAAAAAAAAAACTGACATTACTAAATCATACAAAAAAAAAGTTCTTATCTGGAATAAAAAGTCCATTCAGTCTTAAAATCAATAAAAGAAACAAATCTCACATCTGTGTAAAATTCCAACCTTAAACCAGATAAATCGGTCCATCTGTTTAATATTATCCCAGGCATTCTGTTCTGCAGATCAGAACTAAAAATCATCTTTGCTTTTCCTTACCACCCGTTAGCTCCATTGTTAACTTCTCATTTTCAATCATCTTTTTCTTTTCCTCCAGCTCTGCGATTAGGTTTTCCTTCAGTTCGACCTTTTTATCATCAAACTCCTTCACTGCTGCCTTCTTCTCTTTTATGTAGTTCCTCTCCACCTGCTCCGTCTGTAGAAATTAAAAAGCCACCATGTTTGCCTTTTATTTGCAGTAAAAAGAGAGATGTACACATCATTTAATAGGCTCATTAAAAGTGCTTACCTCAAGGTGAAGAAACAAATCTGTGAAGAAAAAAATAAAATATGACTTAATCTAAAGACACATTATATTATCCTGACTTCAAGCTATGTCCAATGGCATGATTTCTTTGATTGTCAGGTTGTGAAATATTAATGCATTTTTCCTTTAAAGCGAATTCATAAGCAGGCCTTTAAAAGGCCACTGACTTTATTGCCATAAGAAGGAATGATTAAATGAGCCAGTAGTTGGTGTTACTACATTTTCCTCATAAAGACTTTCTGATTTGCATAAAGGATGGGCATCTAATCCTTTCTGGAACAAACGTCAAAACCTCTTTTATCCAAATGTAAAATACTTCTGCTGTGGCCTGTTTTTATTAAAAGTTCATATACGAATAGGTGGATACCATTTTTTTTAATGGCAAAAAAGCACCACACACACACGCAGAGAAATAGACAAAAAATATAGATCTATGCACATTATACATCCTCCCACCTACTCATTTTTGTAACAAAAGAGCTAAAATTGAATATTTGCCGTTTTTGTTCCTCACTCTTTATTGACTGGGCTGCTTCCTATCAGGAAAATATGCCATTGCTGAGCATTGGAACTAACACACACTATAGCGTTGTCCCCATTGCTCTTAATCCAAGTAATAAAATCTAAATCAGAAGTGAACAGAGACTTTAATGTGACTACCAAATACCACACCAAAGCAGTCCTTCTCTAATGCTTTGACAAATATATTCAACAAAAATATAAACTCAATACTTTTGGTTTTGCTCTCTCTCTCTATATATATTTTTTAGATGACAGTGTGTGTGGCGTCATGTGGGTAAGAGGTGTTCTCATATTAATGTTGTGGATCGAGTTGCCCTTGGTGCCGGTGGGGTTATGTTATGGGTCTGTTATAGAGGAAGAACAAAGGTCCATTTTATTGATGGAATTTCAAATGCACAGCAATACTGTGACGACGTCCTGAGGATCATAGTTGTGCCAAACATCCAATAACATAGCCTCATGTTGCAGCAGGATAGTGCATGGCCCCATGTTGCAGGGATCTGTACACAATTCTTGGAAGTCTAAAATATCCCAGTTCTTGAACGGCCTGCATACTCACTGGACATCTCACCCACTGAGCGTGTTTTGGATGCTCTGGATCAGCATATATGACAGCATGTATCAGTTTCTGCCAATATCCAGCAACTAGGGATGGGCGATATGTTATCGTGTGCGATATATCGTCAAAGAAATTCCTCATGGTAACAATTTGTCATCTCGCGATAAAAACGATAAACTCCCGCCTGTGACGTATACTGCGCGTGACACACCTGCAGTCCAACTCACGTGCGAGCCATGCGCAAACAACAAGCATGGCGGAAGGTGGAGGAGACGTGCCCCAAGACCTGGTTCCTAAAAGAGGCTCCAGCTCCATTATCTGGAACTGGTTTGGATTTAAAAAGTCTGATATGGAGAAAGTCGTAATATGCAAAGTTGGCAGACAACCTGTGACGACAAAGGACAGCAACACTACCAATTTATTTCACCACCTAAAACACAAACCGGAATATGATGCTAGTCAGAAGATGTGCTGCGATGCAGCGGAAGCCTCGACTTCGAAAACCTCTGTTAAGAAACCGACTGCCACTCAAATAAAACTTGCTGACGCGTTTGCTTATTCCACACCATATGACAGCCAAAGCAAGCGATGGAAAGAGTTAACAGAGGCCGTTGCGTTTTGCCTGGCTAAAGATATTTTGCCGCTTCAATCTGTGGAGAAGTAGGGTTGCACAGAGAGGTATTTCAGTTTTTATATTGTTTTAAAAATTTTTGATATTATTTATTTTTATTTCATTGTTTAGCATGCTGACGATCCTGCTAGTCTTATTTGTACATTCTTGCACAAAGAAGTATTTCAGGTTTTAGATGTTTTTTGGAATTTATTGAAATTATTTATTTCTATTTTAGTATTTAGATTTTTCTGTTTTTTTCCCTTTATTCATCATGCCATTTGCACATTTTTGTAGCCCAACAGAAAAAAAATTTGTTACAGGTTGATATAACATTTGATTTTTATTTTTAGTGAAGTGAGTGTAATGTATGTTAGAACTTGCACTGGTATTTATTTATCCAATATATGGCATGTTCCAGCAACTGGTAATTTACACATCTATTTATATTAGGAGGTGATTACTGATTAGTTTTAGTTTTCAGTAAAATACTTTTTAGTTCTGTTTCTCAATTTATCAGGTTGTATTTACAGTTGCACTACTTTGCAACTTTTATAAGCCAAGTTATATTTGCTGTGTAGCATTTAAATAAATGTGAAATTTGTTCTCATATTTCAGGCTTGTTTGATTGGTTTGATACATTAGGCTGATATTGTGTTTTTGTTTTGTTTTTTATCGTCACTTATCGTTATCGTGGTAAAACCTAGAAATTATCGTGATAAATTTTTTAGCCCATATCGCCCATCCCTACCAGCAACCTCACACAGCCACAGAAGAGCAGAGGACCAACGTCCCACAGGCCACAACTAACTGAGGCAGTGCAACACATATAAAACAAAAGTGTACCTTTCAGAGTGGCCTTTTATTGTGGGCAGTCTATGGCAAACCTGTGCACCAATCATGGTGTCTAATCTGCATCTTAATACTGCACACCTGTGAGGTGAAATACATTATCTCAGCGAAGGAGAAGTGCTCACCATCACAGATTTGTGGTCTGTGAACAATATTTGAGGAAAATTTCTATATTGTGTATGTGGAAAAAAAGTTTTAGGTGTTAGACCTCATCGCCTAAGAAATGGGAGCAAAAGCAAAAGTGCTGCATTTTTATTTTTGTTGAGTGTATGATTGCACTGTGTCTTCAGCAATGACACAAAATAAAAAGATAACAGATGACAAGGGTCTCAGGAAGACCAGCTTTTCTTAAGATAGTTTCTATGGAGGTATTACTGGTAGTAGGTAATATTAGTAGGCAGATGTTTTTTGGAAAACATAAACTCTCAGAGAGCTCAATACAGAAAAGTATTGTCTAGCTCAAATTAGTTAAACTCACACTAAAAATACTTCTATCTATAATATGGATAATTTTATAACTAGATACTAAACAGCTAGACACCCACATGACACCAGGAAATATTTCACTTTTTTCTTAAGTCGAATAACATCTTCAATAATTTTTTTTTTTCTTTAGCAGAACCAGACCTCTGTGGGTCAGAGAGCAGACAGGTGATGAGGCAGACTGATGCAACCGACAGCCTCAACCAGGAGCTTTTTATGGCAAGGCTGACGTTCAGCTAGGAAAATGGCATCAAGTTACAACAGTTTCATTTTAGTTTGAAGCTAAAATAAAAGCAAAAACATCTTGAAAGATAAGATGTCTGGCTAGCTGTTAGCATTCAACCGATGAAGATCTTACAAATTTACTGTTAAAAAGATATTTTAGCTCTTGGGAAGAAGACCATTTATGAAAAAAAAAAACTCACTTGGAGAAAAACAACTACTTCAATATTAATTTGGACTAAGGATTTTTATAAAAACAGACGTTTGATAGACTCATAACACTTACAAAAAAAAAGAACAAAAATTAGCTTGCCATGTAAGGACTTTTATAAATACTTATTTTTTTAAGCATCCTAATAAAATAAGCAGTGTGGATAATTTAAAAGAAATTAGCTAACATTGATCCAAAAAAAGATAATAAAATGAGTCATCCACGTTAAGTTTTCAATGTGTGAGATCCCATCATGGTAAACGTATTTTGATGCGCAAGAAGCTGCCATGATTTTCTCTTTAAAACAAAAATCATTTGAACTTGCAATTTCTTTCTGATTCTATTCTGGCCGCATCATTTGGTGGGGTTTGCTTTTTAATGATGGCTTAATGGTAAAAATGGGTCTGATCACGAACCATTGATCCCCTGTTAATTTAGTCTAACATAAAGGTTAGACCATATGATTTCCACGATCCAGAAAATGAGGACAGAATCGCAGAATTTAGCAAATAAAATGGAATCTAGTACAAAAGATGGAACCTCAGAGGGTTTACCTAAACGAGAAGGTAATTTCTGAGGTATTTTGTCCACTGCAAAAGCCTCCATCTACCGTTACCTAGCTACGTGGGACAGGCTCAGGTCAGCCATGGAGAAGTGGCAATTAGAAAGAATAAAGTCCAAAACAAATCTAAACAAATGTGAAACCTGGAACTAATTTGAAGGCAGAACAATCCTCCAGAGATTTTATTCCTCTGAGGAGCAACTCTTATCAGCAAATGATTGATTGGACACGTAATAATATATGTGATGACCACCTCTGGTCAGAGTCACATCACAAACAGGGAAAAGCAGCAAGCTAGCGCTAGGTATGAACTCTTCAGCATTTAAATACATCAGCACAAGCGAGGCGTGAGTTTATTTAACGCACATTAATTCTGATTTTGGGCTTTAAAAAAAAAAAAAAAAGACAGGTAAATATTGCTTTGAACACCTCTGAAAGCTGGAAGAAGTAGAATTAAGCATGGATCCAGTTTAACAGGCAAATGTGGACAAAGTGTTAGTTTGTAGGTTTCTATGGATCTTTATGAGACATTTCTGTTCAACTCTAAAGTACTTTTATAATAGGACACATTTTCATGTGAGATTATGTTATACACACAAAATAATTTCTGTTCTATGAAAACAGATAAATAAAAGGGTAAATACTAAATATTTTTAAATAACTTGCAAAAGCATGTAAGATTCTGCAAAATCCCAACTATTTATTTCTGAAAATGAAACAAGTCAATATGTTTTGAATTTGGGGGCCATTTGCAAAACACTTTTTAGTAACTTTATAACCACAAATTTTTCAGGTAATTTTCAGGTTCATGAAAATGGTTAAAAGGAAAATGGGGAATTGAGGAAAGAAAAAGCAGGATTTAACAAAATTAGTGGTATTTTGGAAAAAGGAAAAGTGATTATTAGGGCCTACATAAAGGTACCATTTCTTACCAATACAATTATATTTCATCAGACTGGGCCTACCCCAGATGCAGGATTCCACCATCTAATTGACATCAAATGAAGTTTGAGTTATGGCATGTATGTTAGTTAAAAATAAAGCCAGTAAATCTGATGAATATTATAAATTTCAGTGTGAGTATTAGCCAAGGTTCCCTGGTAGTTAGTGTCTTTGTTTACACTGATAACAGCTAATGGTTCAGCTTTGATCACTCTGACCATTTCACTCTACTGCCACCTTTTTAAAGATAAAACTCATCCTATTTTACTTTAACATGACTGGATGACGGCCAGTGTAACTGCTTTATTATAGAATACTCTGGAACTTGCAGTAACCTACTCTTAACACAAATGCATTAAGTCAACAAAGCATGTTCTTGCCGGCATTTCGGAGCCTCTCTTTGTATTGCTGGTCCAGCTTCTTCATCCTCTTCTGATATTCCTGCAGGGTGCCTGCAAGAACAAAAATCAGAACTTAAGTCTTTTGTTTGTGTCCATGTCTAACTGGCTGTTTAAATTGATTCTTTCCACAGGAGGAATAATTCCAACATTTCAGAGTGTAATAAAATAATAAATCACTAATCTCACTGTTTAACCTAGGATTTTGTCAAGTCTTGCAATGTTTCTGACATACTGAAAGGGTTTGCACATTAGTCACCATAAGCCATATTATAACGGCAGCGACTCTCTGCATCCACCCACACTATATCTGAGATTACTCTGACACTGGAGTCACATATTGATGCACAAAGCAAATTATATTAGACAACAGTTTTCACCATCCACATCAGCCTGAGCCAAAAAGGCCCAGTGGGAGCAGCTAATGGTGCAACAGAACTGGAAACAGCACAGCCAGCAGCTGAGAAACAAAGCGAATCCGTAAACAAAAGACAGACTGGATTTCATCATTTATGACGTGGCTGTATGTTTCTCTTAAACTTTGTGACAAAAATTACAATTATTAAACTCTCTTTTTGGAGACATTATTACCAAGTCACAAAAAGCACCATCTAAAATACGTCCTTTATTTGACATTTACTAAAAACAAAACATTTATTACCTTCTTGTAGTTGCTGCAGCTGTCTTTTTAATGAGGCCAGTTTATCCTGATACATTCTGGAAATAAATAAACAATAAAAAATCACAATCAGGGAACGGGAACAGCAATTAGAAAGTCTGATTCATAATTAGAAAATAAAAAAAGAAAGAACAACTTACTGTTCCTTAATTTCAACATAGTCCTCCTCATCATGTTTGGCAAGATCTGTCTCACTTGCATCTTCAGTGTCTGGAAACAGGAATAGCAGGGGTTTAAATTCCAATCCCTCCAAGATAAAACTTTCACACATATATTTAAAGAGGTTTTTTTTTGGCAGCCATAAGAAAGGTTGATAATGATCCTCTGCAAACAGGAAAAAAATCCTGCGCATCAAAGGACGTGCTTGGCAGTAGTGAGGTAATGGTGATCACTGTTCTTGTGATGCCCTGCGATGTGTTTGAATTGTTGATCATAAATCCACATACAGTATGTCCTATAACACGGGCAGAAGTTCGGCTAATGTCAACGTGGATACATCCTGCAGCGTCATTTAGTAAGTTTAATCAAAAAGAACCATTGATACAATTAATAAAACTCTCTGTTAGTCAGTGTGCAAATTAAACTTTCAACATTAGCCGCATGAGATGATTAATCAGCCAATTCTGGTTCTGCTTGCGGTAACTCTCCCAATAGAAAGCTAACATCGATGCTAAACGACGTGTCAAAGTCGGAAGCGAAGTTTATACCTAAAAGCCGAACTAGAGCTTCTTTTTTATTATTTGGAAGAACTGAAATAAACGAGAAAGAAAAGAGAGGCCCGAGTTAAGCTGACACGGCAAGTTTCATTTTCAGTTAGCAATAGTGTGCTAGCTGAAGTTAGCTCTGCTGTTAGGGAGAGGAACCCCGGCTGGTAGCTCACAAGGACATCAAAAACACACCAGGAAGAGCAAAACAACATGAAATAAAGCAGGATTTTTGCTCTGAATGTCAGCGTCAGCTGGATAGCAAACCTTGTAGTGTTGTCATCGCCCTGTTTTACTCCTCGCCTTTCTTTAATAGATTCACCGCAATCCGCCTGGTCTGACTGAGGAGCGTGGAAAGGGCACAGCAGTGGACACAGCAGGCAGACAGACAGGCAGCAAGCAGACAGCCAGGCAGGGCCAACCTGTCAGCGCCCGCAGCTAACGTCACGAGCTCGCTGGCTGGCTAATTAGCGGCGTTTATCAATAAAAGCTATGGATTAATAATAGTCATAACCGTAGATGAGGTTAACTTCCAGATTTCCAGACTTACCCTAACTTTCCCTCACAATGAATGATCTTATAATTATGTCAGGGCAACAGTAACCACAAGGCAGACAAACAAATGAGTTTTAAACAAAATACATTTTAAGAGAAACATACATAAAATAATAACAGTAAATTAAAGAAAATATATTCATTACTGTACATTTATGGCAAAACCTATTAGTTTAACTGATTAGCAGGAGAGATATCAGAATCATTCATCTAAATATATTAAGAATCTAAAGTATGATCACAATATAGTTCCATCAATTACAAAACAAAATCTATCAGTTAAGGCAAAATTATTGACATTTTCTGTTTATGCATGCATATATCTACACCAACCACTTATGAGTTAAATAAAAAATGGATACTGGTTTAATTCATCCTGTCTTTATTAAAATGCTGCAATTGTTTCTCCTTGTTTTTTGGTGCGTTTCTTTGCAGGGGGGTGGGGTCTTACATACCTGTCAGAGCTAGAAATCAGTCAGGTAAAAGCCACTATTTGTTACTAGATTATAAATAAAACGACAGTCAGTTCTTCCTTTATTGGAAGAAACAAAAACAAAACTCTTAAGTTTCTGTACCGAAGCGACTAATCTTATTTTTTCCTCAGTATTAGTTGGATTTAAGATCGACCTTTACTATCCCTTAAATATGTAACAAAAAACAAAAAAAACAAAAAAAAAAGAATCGGCACATTAATCCAAATATTTGATGTTTAATCTTAATATTTTGATTTGGATCTCTAAAAAGGTGAAATACACAAACTTAATCTGTTACTATTTAGAAACCATCTACATGCTTACAGTCGAAATCCCCTAAATGTGTTTTTCAGCCATACAATCGTGTATAGATTATATTTTGTTGAAAGAAAATGGTCTAAGGCATACAAGCCACCCACTTTAAGTAGCTAATAATCATCTGGGAGGAGTCTATCTTTAGAAGGACACGCTAGCGGGTTAGCCTAAAAACACATTGATGTTGATGTATTAGTTACGGAATTAAAGGCAGAAGTTGAACCTAAATTAGAATATTATATGTAAAATAATATATATAACAACAAGAGCATAATGTTAAAACGCATTCTTTGACATTGTTATAGCTATATTACTGCAACTACTCATTTCCGTTTCTTCTCCAAAGAGTAGACGGAGCCCGACAGTTAATGTGTTGCTGAGGATTTCTTCAATTACCTTCCTCCGAGTCTCTTCCTCTAAAACTCCGGTCATCGTCCTCATCCACGCTATCCAGCTCCTCTTCGTCGTTGTAATAATCCACCATGGGGGAAATCAAAGTGGAAGCCATTTATCCGTTAGGATGTAAACAAACATGAAATAAACAATCGATTTGTGTTTTGCAGGCTGCTTGAAACTGCGCCTACAACTGGCAGGACCTCTTTATACCAGGCTGTCCACGTTTATGCCTGAACACAATTTTTGTCAAAAAGTAATGTAGGATTGTTTTAAGTATGATACGAAAATTTGTTTTTTTATACCAACCCCTGTATGATAAATAATATTTTTTATTTATGGTAATAAATGTGTTATAATCTCCTAGTGAAAAAACAATGGTGCTCCTTCTGCTGGCATTAGAAACTGGGGACTCCAACTCGTTTTAAAGGGGAAAAAAAAAAAAACTGGAACAGCTTATCTAAAGAAATATTCTCCTAAATCAGTGTATTGTTTGAAATTACTACTAACTGCAACAATTAGGGTGTATTTTCACTATTTACATCCCCAGACACACTTACTATACTTTGAATTCCAAACAGTAAGATCTGGATTTTACTATGCATTGCACCTCATTTCCTATTAGGCTATTTATAGAACTATTTACTTACAACAAGAAAGAATGCAAAAAAAAAA